GATAGCGAATGTATACGTATTACCATTGCGTTTCAACACCTGGAACGGTCCAACGAATCTTGGCAAAAGCTTCCTGCAGCTGGACACTGCATGCTCAGGCAGATATGTCGTGCTAAGTAGTACAATATTATATACCTTCTTATTCTTTCTTCCCCTCTTACTCCTGTTCTTTTTGCAGATCCTGAGCTTTCGCAATTGGGTCTAGAACAGAACAGCTTGTCGCTTCACAACAAAGTCATCAACGTGCTGTTCTTCACGACTCGTAATGTCGTGTAGAGGTCTTTTGAGCTTAATTCTGTGACAGTAGTTAGGTCCGACTGTGGATCTATATCCATATTTCCTCATCCACATACGATGAAGACCTCGTTCATAATGAAAAAGGGTACTATAGTATGGATAACATAGCTCACATAAAAATTCGGATAACCTGTTAAGACATCGTGGAGCAGTTCAACGCAAATTTTGCAAGAGGGATAAATTCATTACATTCTTTGAACAACATAGCGTAACTGCGCAGTACATCCTCCATGACATGATTCACACTCCCCGTTTGACTGTCCATTTCAGGGTGTGCCGCTGATGACATGGACAATTTGGTGCTCAATGGTTCAAATCATGCCTGCCAAAACTTTGACGTGGAACGTATGTCACGGTCAGACACGATTTCAGCACAAAGGCAATGGAGACCAAGAACAACGTCTACAAAGACCTAAGCTGTTTTCACGGCCGATATTTTCCTTAAAACAGGCAATAAATGAGCCGTCTCGCTGAATCGGTCCACTAATACACGGATACCACTGTCTCCATGTGTGGCACGGAGATTCCGAATGTGAAGTTCATAGTCACAGACTTCCAGCTGTCAGTTGGCACTGTCAACGACCGAAATGAGACCTGAGTGGAACCCGATAGTTTCAATCCCTGGCAAATCTCACAAGTCCTCTCATACTTGCACACCCACTTATGCTTGTGTGTCCATTTGTAATCCCGAGTAACATTTTTTATGTCCGAAATGGCCACCCGAAGGGCTGTCAAGGTAATCGTTTAAAAGTCGATGACGCAAACCTTCGTTATTAAGAACAAGAATCTTGCTGTATCCTCATGTTCAGCCGCATAGTACAATAATCTTTTGTGTACTTCGAAACCGGGAACACGCGATCGTGTGCGAGAAGGAAATCCTTGCAGTGCTTTGTCAGAAAGATCTTTAAAATAACTCAACAAGTCCTGACATGTCTTATCAAACTTGTTCCCTCCGACAATTTTCTCGCACACTGTAGTCGTTTCGTGCACTCTGATCGTTTGAACATCTTTGCATTATCGACATTATTCGTGCATGATGAAGCTCCTGAACCTTGGATCATACTCCAGACGTCCTGATAACGAATTGGCTAAGATGATCGTCTTGCCCGGCTTGAAGTTTACACTCTGCAAGAAATGACGACAATTGAGCCATTTTCTGCGATAAATGTGGAGTCGCACGCAGCGAGGTATGATCTGTATAGATCGCAAAGCGATGCTTTTCAAGCAAGAACGCACAGAACTATACTAAAGTATACTTCGTTACAAGGGCCATTTGTCATGAACTGGGGAGTTATGTTTCGCGGGCTGGAGTTGTCGCGACTGATACGCAACCACTCGCTTTTGACCCTTATCATTGTGTTGCATCATCGCACAACCTATGGCATAATCACTTGCATCGTAGACCACATGAAAAGATTGTTCGTGGTTTGCAATCGCAATGACGGGTCTTTCTCGCAACTATTACCGCTTGGTGATTTTTTTATCATTCCCGCTTAACGTTCTTCTTCAAAGAGTCGATAGGGGTCGCACGAACGCTGCATAATCGCGCGTGTATTTGTGCAAATAGTTGGCCAAGCCCGACCATTGCCTCAGCTGCTTCACATTGTTTGGCACAGGCCAATCACCGATAGCTTTCATTTTATACGGATCTATACGAACTCTTTACCTTTCTTACCCAGAGAACAGCCAAGAACGGGGATATTTGATGCAGAAAATACCCTTTTCAGGGTAGCGTAGATCTAATGCTCTCGGATAATCTAGAAGACTTGACGCAGATGACCAAGATGAACATCGAAATCAGACTTCTCAACGCTTTTTTACTTTGAACGAATATATAGTCAAAGTAACTCTTTCAATGGACGAAGAAGATAGGTGACCATTTTGTTAAAAGTCGCGGGAGCGTCTTCAAACCTTGTCGCATCACCAACCATTTCCACAGCATACCACTGAGGGTCCTAACTGCAGTTATTAGTGATTCCTTTTTGCGCATTCGAATCTATTAGAAAGCATCTTTTCGATCGATCGCATTGAACACAGTACTGTCAACCATTCCATCAATGATCATATCCTTGCGTGGAATTGGCGAATGGTCGCATCGCTTAATTTGTTGAAAGCGTGAACAATCCGCCTGCCACCTGTGGCTTACTTCACGCAGAAGTTGGGACTACAATGCAGAGACTTGCCTTAAAGAACACGACCAGCCTTCTGTCGCTGCGGAAAGAGCTCGTCGATTGGAATGACTTGCCATTCAATACTTGCGCTTGAAAAAAAAACAAAGTTGTTCTTCGCACCAGTGTCAATTAAAGATGTTTCTTAATACCATCTACAAAGACGGCTTGGACGATCAATGCCGCACTTTACCTGATACTTTAATCACTCACAGTGGAGACTGGGTGTGCATTATGCACATGCACATTGGGGCCAGCGTTCTGTGTATTCATAGCTTTCAGAGTCCTCTTTTTGGGCCCAGTAGGGAGCCCAACTGGCCCCTACTCGTCGTTCCCGTTCTTACCCCTGGAAGCGTTTAGACCGACAACCTCCATAGCGTCCGCGGTTATCCGAACGAGCACCTATGTCTGTTGCCAAATTGACAATGACACTCTGCAGTTCCGAGCAACATGACTTGGCTTCTCACAACGGAAACACTTTTCGTCGGTGCAAGGACGCTCATTTCCAGGCTTGGAAATGTTTAAGATGTCCATTGGCTCTGGCCCATCACTTGTACCGGTTGACTGGTGCGTTTGCCTCGGTACAAAGCCATTGAAGTAAGCTTGCTTGATGCTGAACTTTTCTTGGTTCATGGCATTGCCCAGCATTTTGGGATACGCACGAGACAGTTGATTAAGGGTCACATACTCGTTACAAATTGCGCTGAATCATCTATTGAATCGTCGACAATCCCGAAACCAAATAGCGAGCTTGCTGTGCGTACGAGTGTGGGTCGTAACGATATTGCCGAAGCTTCAAGAAGTCAGCACGGGCGCGGAACTCACTACGTGGTGGTCAAAAAGCCTATTTTGAGTCCAACTCTAAAGGTCTCGTAGCTGGGAAAGCAATTTAGATCGGCTAAAAGATTACCATACACCCGACTTCCATAAGTTTGGGCATCGCGAACAACGCTGCAAGGAGTCTCGCATTTTGTCTTGCAGTAATTGATGCATGCAACTCGACAAATCATCGCGGGAAAGGCTCTTTCTCTCCACAACGGTTTGAGGTCACATACAGTTATCAGAGCATCGTTCCGTACATAATAACAGGGCGTGAGACCTGCTTTCGAGATGTCATAATCACATTATGCACAAAAATGACAGCCTCGTTCCTATGATTACTGTAGAAGACGATTGTAGAAAAATAGCCACAGCTGCTTATCCGATGGCACCTCGCATCCAGTCGAGTGCCATCCACTAATGATAAAGCCAATGAGGAGACATCTAATTCGTTAGCACCTCAGTTTGCGGTACTGATTGACCGAGTGGTACCCCAACTTGTTCCATAACCGAAGGACAAGGTCAAGAGTATGGCTTGGGCTGGAATGCGCGACGTTCTCATTAGCTGACCGTCAAACAAAATTGAGTGTCGTTAGAAAGGCCCTTTGAAAAGCTACATGGCTTAAGAAGGCACTGCTCACAAACAGTCCATCAAACACAACACACATACTTAAGCGACGAGAAAGCGATTCCCGACGCGGAGGGAGAAGGACAGTCCCAACTTAAGGGAAGAAGAACGACTTAAGCCCTTTGTGGCTGATTTGCAACTAGCTTAAAATGGGTTATGGCTCCTAGATAGATGAAAAGCACCTTAATAGCTAGAACTTCAAATAGCTCGAACTTCAGCTTTGTGGAAAGCATCCGGTACAAGCGACTAGCTTACGTCACCCAATTTGAAAGACAGAGACACGTCGGTCTCGTCTCCAGTACAGACCCTTAGGTAGGAACCAGCGCTTTTTATCACAAAGAATGTTTGTGACTTCATAAAATGTCACGTTTGCATTTGGAGAACACCATGCTGTAATATTCCTCTTCATTAAATCCAACAACGCATACAGATAGTACCTTCATGTAATTGATAGTTATAGCGACATGTCCGATGTCTCTAATAAAGCGACTCCCTATATTTGTCGACAGCTTGGGGATGTGCCATGCGTATGCTAGCGAAGAACTCATTGACATAACAATGTCGCCGCTGTCGATGGCTTGTATCACACCGTTTTCAAGCGTTCACCAATAGGAGAAAAAACTTGTCGTTTCTCATAACTTTCTGGAACTTGTCATATGCTGTGTCGCTCCCGCTGTGGCTAAAATCGTTTCTTAGATGTTTTTAGTGGTAGAAGTTTATATTTTATTTTATGCCATAGTATGTACATTCTGATCGCTCTCATACTCTTAACAGAAGACTTGCACTCATGCCAACGAACCCTGAGTGTCTCCTGGATTATGTAATACTGCCAATCGAATTGAAAGATCAACATTTTCTTTTGATCCAAGACATGCTGGTCGTGCTTGATACTATACGCAATCCAGTTAGCCACAATCTACCAATTTCTTTCATAGGTGCAAAGATTGACGTTCTTCACACTATCTGCAGAATTTCGTCTTATCCTTCTCGTACTAAGTGTATCTGTGGTAACACTGAATATAGCCGACAATGCGCATGTAAACCTATAGGACGACAGCAAGTCCAAAACGTTAAGAGAAGTTCAATCAATGGACTTGTAACCTATCAATTTGCTGTTTTTTTAATTTAACACCTGCCAAATTTATCGTTTACAGTGAGGAGCGCCACAGAAGGGAATTTTTTGAGGAGTCTTTAATTGATCCTGAATTTGCCCTATTACGGCACCATCCGTATGAATTACATTATCATGAATCAGACGATGGTGAAGGTACGACGGTTTTTATGGTAGTTGTGTTTGCGCTAATTTTATCATGTCTTCTCAGGCTCACTCAAAATGGCCATGTACGACATTCGTGGCGTAATTTCGAAATATAATGAATGCCGCAATAATATAGAATGTGGTCATAGTAATTTAACAAGAGTTAGTGTTCCATGGTATACGAGACCAAGTTTTAGCATTGTTTTTTCGATGCTCAGGAGTATTGACAACAAATTTGTATCTTATGTAGTAAGAATTGTCGGCACGACTGTAAAAAAATTGCAAGCCTTATGGCTTCCGCAGTTGCTAGACGTTAACGGCAACAAAGTCGACAGTATCAGCAAATTGCTTGGTCGGGGAACTCTACCCCTTAAATCTAGTTTTTGGTTTGCCAGTCAAATAAAATATAAAGAAACAGCTTGGATAATCAATAGTCTAAGTACTCAAGGCAGTGCCGGATACAACGCACTGAGAAAACGAGTGTCACTCGGTATTTAAAGTCAAGCTTAGTGAAATGGAGTCTAGCTGACAATATAAGTTTTTCATGTGTATTTGTTAATAAATAACTAACAAAGTCTCCATGACGCTTGCAACTTGCGATACAGTATTCAAGTATAAGCGTACCGATGTTGTTAATAAACACTGTCCCAGAAGCTAAAAGCCAAAGAGATTAGTCCTGGTTTAATAGCGCTAGGCAGGCATATAAGGATACAACTGTGGAAACATACACACTTGATTGCACAATTTATAGTCTAGCGAATTGTCTGGTCAGATGTATGACTCGATATACATTGCTAAATTTTGTCTGATGACTCAAACCAAATATTAAGAAATTGGCGTGCATACGCGATACACCGCTGTGACCGGAGCCAGAGTAATTGCCATCAGTAGGATGGAGCAGAGATTTCTTTCGATGCAGTCCGATCTCATCTCGACTGTTACGTTTACATCGAAATCGTAACATTGCGTGGCTGTCACCCAGTCTCCATTAAAATACGTTTAACGAAACGTTTTTTTTTCAACGGTAAAAGATTATTCTCGTGTATGAAGTTGAGGGGGGAGTTCGCCCGATTTTTCTGCGACTGACTGCTACCGGCGTGAAAATGTGTTGCAAAAAATATGACAGTTGAAATTCGAGACGTTAAAGACATCACGTCAGCAACCGTTTATCGGTTTGGGCCGTGAGAAACAATTACGAAAGCTCTGGGTAGTCACTGAACCAGTCTACTTAAGCCAAAATTGTTCCAGAGCACATTGTTGTATCGTCAAACACTCAAGAGGAAAATGCAAAGCCAAATCATAATCGATCATGTGATCAAATTGTGGGGGCAAGCGGTTGCATGAGCTAACATCTGGAGCCAAAACGGCAACGCTAGGAAACGGTATAGTGAAGCTGCGCAATTGCAAACATCTTTTTTTTTGTCGTGTGAATTTTATTTTCTGCTCGACCTTTTCTGCAACCTAGCAGGGCAAGAAGAGACGAATCATTGTTTGATGCTGGGCGAGAACGATAGAATTTTTATGATCTACTACTGCGAGGGTTATTGGATGCGCGTGAGATAGCGTCTTAATGAAGAGATAATATATCTTATTCGAGCTGAGAAGGGAGAGTGTGATCTCACCCAAACTTTTATCTGTGGTCATACCAAAAAATTGTGCCCTGGGTTAAAAACTCGGGCTATCTCACACGGTGGAACGAAAAACACCTCGCTAGAAGACGGCGAGTCCCAGTAGGCACAGAGCAGTACTAGCTTATATTGTAATTTGTGAGTACCAACGTCAATATAACCAACCATCAGGAGTTGGATTCTCTCTTAGCTGACAAAGGTGTTTAACGGCTTTCAACATCGTTAGGAGGTCGCTAAAAGTTCTGATAGAGACAAGAGCACCACGCGATCACGTTCAGCACAATATTTAGAGGCATTGAAGATGTCAAGTACCAGTAAATATTCGTGCAAAGTACGACGGGGGCATAGTGAAAGTCCCAAAAGTCTGTTAGACATTTCTCTAAGGTTTGAGCTCTTGTTTGGATCCTGATCTGAAATCAAGATATGAAACATCATTGAATGATGTAGCTGGAGCGCTATCCCTAGAATAATCAAAAGCAATAATATATTTGGTACCACGCATTCATTTCTGCAGGAGCTTTGGTGAGTTGCACGTCTGTTAGGCATCGGAAGCACTTTTGGCGCGAGCATGACGCTGCGATAGTTTTGAAGATGAACATGGTTCAAAAGACGTAAAAATTATACCGGCGAACTATTCGAGCTAGAATTGAAGATTAGAGGCGTCAGTGAATTGCCTTTTCAGCATTTGATCTCTTAAGAACGAAGAGCGTCTAGTGCGGCGGTCTTCAAGGTAAAATCGTAGGAGAGAAGTAACCGTTATTTTTGAACGGAGAATATGTCTTTTAAGTATGTTGGGTTGATACATCCTTATTACGATGTAACAATATTTTTAAGTTTGTACTTGTGTATGATGCGGCAGCTTTGGGGGGACAATGAATCACCACAAACTTATGGCGAGAAAGTAATTCGCTCGTTAGATAGTGGCTGCGATAGACTTAAGAGATACAAGTTATCACATACAGAAGCTCGCCATGACTGATTATGAAACATTCCTATGCGAGTGAGCAAGTAGCAGTTAATTAATGAAATCATCGAGCTGGTACGGCACAAAGGGAAATTAAGCCGTAATCCGTCATGCTTGAGCCCATTTGTGGGTATAATCAAAATGTGCGTAAAGTGGGGGTCGCTAAGGTGGACCTTAGCGATCCCGAATATGATCTGTGACGAATGAAAATGGCGACGCGGCGTGAAGATAATTGAGGTGCTACTGACGCTGCTCTCGTGATGAGATATACCTCATGAGGTTATCCTTTTTCTTTGAGTTAGAAGTTGCGTCACACGACAGTGGCCCTAACCAAAGGAACAACGAAACGTTGTAATATTTTATCCAGCTATACTCAAAGCGTGTTTGATGATATATCACCAGCACTTCATTCAGGACAAACAGAGTTTCATGCTGCCGCTACTCCGAAGCAAATGCTGAAAATAAAAACATCTGTCAGAAAGTTGTATTGGTTAAAGTTTGTTTGGTGCCGTTATCCTGATTACCGAGTTGATGGAAGTTATCAACTGCTTATGATAGAAAGCTATATCGCTTTTACAACAAGGAGTACTTCTGGCGGCATGCTTCGGAAGTGTCTGGTTATGCCACAAAGACAGTCTAGCGCTCAAGTGACATAGAATCGTCTGGCTGTGCAGCACTTTAGGTCATGTAGTGGCTATACGCAAAGTATTAAGTAGAGATATAAGCCCAAAATAGTGCAGAGCACAAAATCGGAAACAGAAACACAATAATCACTTGCCAATACTGCTTGAGTGTATGCGCCTGAAGGTGCTCGCTGCCAAAACCAACAGGTGCTTATATGGCGCCCGATATGATCCCATGTCTGGTGTTTTTACTGGAAAGCATGATCTTCGGGTATACCGCATAGATCAAGACCATTGTAGATTATTCAGTGCCATCGTCACGAAAATGGAATAAAAAAAATGACCAACCTCTTGTACACGTGTATTGCTAAATATATTGTGATAGCAAGGTTTCGCACTTATCTCCTTGCATACGATGTAAGTAAATGAGCTTCAGTGCGTCAGAAGAAGGGGTCTTCAATGCCAAAATACGTATGAGTGCCCTAATTTTGCGGTTATACGTATTTCAGCATATGGAAAGGACATTTCATGATTTGCAAACACCTTGGGCTGTATTTTACTCTCGACAAATGCTGATAGGGATTTAGTATAATCGACTATACTTTTTGCCGGCTTACAGTGACGGCCGAAAACGTTCCACTCAATGACAAGAATTCCCGTATGATAACGTATGCTCTTGTCTAGAAGTAACAGACTCGCTTGGACTTGGTAGCTCATCTTTTTATTTTGTCCTGCGAGAGTGAGCTTAGGCTTTTTTTGGGGTGCACCTGATCGCCCCTACGCCGTTTCGATCTATACACGTTATGCGTCATTGACCATAGCGACACCTTTTTGCAAATTATAGCAAGATGATTATCCGAATTTATCGAGTACAACGTTTAGGGAAATTTTAGTCGATACCGTGTTAATACAATGGTGTATGCGCTTTCTCGCTCTAATCTAACATTGTTTCACGTCACAGTGGTGATACCCGCTCATCGACGTTTTGAGCGTACGGCTTACAAGCCAGACATAACGTATGGTGTGCTATTATACGCTTTAAAATTCAAAGTCTTTCATGGATATTGCTACAATACGTGTCTGGTTGTACGTTAGCACCGCTAGTGCTTGTTCCAAGGCTTGTTCTAATACACTCAACACGCAGCGCGTGTGGTATCTACTGATGAGACACAATATACAGGTTTGCTGTTGGAGGGAGGTAACCTGGATGCCACTTCGCAGGAGAAAGACATACGGCTTAGTAGGCAATATTGTCTGATGGTTTAGCATGGGCAAAAAATAATAGCCCTGATGTTCGCACGTCGGCGAGTGGAACTCACGCCACTTTAGCCGGCACCCTCAGACAGCCCACTAGTTTCGGGAAAGGTTGGTAACTACAGACGTTTCTTTTGGACTCCCAAAGATGCGTCCAGTAATATCAAAATTGTAGTTTTGGTGAACTCGTAAGCAATGTGGAACATCAGACTGCTATCAAAACACGGGCACACAAGAGATACAGCCAAGCTGCTCCGCAGCAAGTTTTTTGCTAACATGGCTTGCCATTTGCCATTGTGTTGAACCATGATTCGCACTTGACAATGTTTCTGCGAGCTTTTATCAAGATTTCTAAACCCTAGAAAATACAGTCAGCTGGTCAGACGAGACGCATCAATTCCGTGGTGGTGCTACTCCATTCCGTGGTGGTGCTACTCCCACTTCATCCGATGCACTGCTATGGTGTTGGTGCAAAATGCTCCCAGTAATTGAGTTTGCGTTGAACAGAGCAGTCCACGCCTTTACAAGCTTGACCTCATTATATCAAATTTTCTGGTAGCTCCCGTGTTCTCATGACACTACCACCGGCTTTAGAGAGAATGATATTGTAAGTAAGGTGTTTTTCGATTATACCATTCCGGCTACCTTATGTAGCAACATCGACGAGTGCATCTCGAAGAGACTGAACTTTTTTTTCGAAAGCACTGGGCTATGGCTGAGAGTCAGGATGCAGCATAAGTATTATTTGAATTTTGGAAGGATACGGAGCATCACTGCTTCATATATGGTGACAACTTTTATACAACGCTATCAACCTACATATGCAGTGTATGCCAAACCTTTACAGTCGTAGCCGAAGTGATGGTGCCTGGAATACCAGAGAGGAATCGCGACATATTTTTTGTGAGATCATATTGAACACTGTATATATTAGTATTCTAGATAGATTTCAACAGTATGACTGAATCCAAATTTATTATAACAATGAGCAGTTGGATGTAGCGCAGTTGCAACTATATTTTTATAAAACACAGACACGGCATGTGTTGGTACGCCTGCATTCAATAAACTTTTGACCCAAAACATTCTTGTGTGTGTCTAGCTTTCCTCTAGATTTTCCCAGATGCTCTCGAGTATTCTAATTTGGTGCTATATCGCCATTTTCCCGGCGTATGGCATTCAATATCATACAGATAAATACTTATCTTGATACAAATTGCAGCCGGGCTAGATCAGCAAATCGATTTTGATTGACATCCCTTTATCACTAATACCGAAGCCACTTCGTGGCGGTATAAAGGGGACCCAATGTTTCGTTAAAAAAATTAATGTCAGTAGGGTATAGCCTATCGAGGTATGTACTGCGTTATCAGCTCAAACACAGTCCCTTGATCCAGTATCGCAGTCTCTTCGCGCAAATACTTTAGAGGACGTGCTTCACATCAAAACTGTCGCAATCCGTCTCTGGATGAAAATGGTCAGCAGCTGACATACCCTTTCTCGTCGCAAGCACCTGAGCGAATGTAAACCAGAATTTCGCCATGAGTCAAGGGTATTGATCCGACAAAATGGCTTCGCAACTCATGTTAGCAAAACCTTTGTCTAGCAACAGCTTGGCTGTAATCTCACTGTCACGAAGCCCCCGACAGCAGCAAAATGATACACGTGTTCAAATATTCCGCAAAGATAAATGCGACAGTATTACCGAAGCGTTATTGGAAGAATGAAAATAGAGGCCATAAACTTTGGCTACCAGCGCTTTGCTCAAATTGGCCGACTGGTTATGACACTGAGCATGCGGCGAGGGCAACACGAGCACCCATACGTGCTTACTTACCCACATGTTTACCCACTACTACATATTAGACCACCGGTACATCGTGTTCATTGGGCTGTATGTCTTTTCTCTTTCCAGTCGGTCGGCAAAGAGGTAACAGTAATATTTGCATGTTACACAAATTTGAAAATATAGTCCTCAAGATGAATTACCCACACATTGAAAGTAGAGTGCGTCGGTGTGGAAATATGAAGCCAATCACTTTGATCCAGACACCTTGTCCCCAGAGGTTTTTGGCGGCACAACACATGTACATTACAAGTGTAGTCTCATTGAATTACGACTTCATCATATTGGGAAATTTGAAATGAGGCCGCGGTGACATAAAGCCCACACACTACCACCTTGAGCCGATCCGTCTATCATATTATCATTGAGGTACAACCGGCAATTTAGGATCACGATCTTAAGAAAAGCAAGAAACTCCTGCGTAACGTAGTTTGCTCTGTAGGGGTCTCAAGCGGCTTGGAGCCAAGCAGTAGTACCCCGTTCTTGACGAGAGCACATTTGAAATAGCATCTGGTCGTATACAGGAACCGCCGAGACTCTAACGCGATCTTGTGCTGATTTCCGTTATTATATGCTTCGAGTAGATGTCAGCCTTAAGCAAAGGCTGAAGGGCCACGGACGGAACGGGTTTGTCAATCGAGATTTGAGAGAATCGTTTGTGCATAAAGCTATCGTTTACAGCTCTAATGTCACCAAGTCTGCCGCATACTATGACCGTATGACATCCCATGCCGGCATCGCTTGTATGCGAAGATACAAGTTGATGGCTGGGCCAAACCTTTTTCTCATCTTCTTCAAGCTCTTATCCAATAAACAGGAGCTGTTCTCATCGTGGAATCTTTCCGCGTGTCATGTTTTCAAACAGAGCAATCCAGTCAAGAGATTTTGCTGGTGCCTAAGACACACTTATCAATATTGGCAAACAGCTTATTTTAAGGAAGTCAGTCACAGGATAGCCCCCCATTCTAGAGGTAGCACGCGTGGTGAGGATAGCATCTGTCTCACCTAACAGACTCGGTGTGTTGCAAGTGGTCTCATTGAGGGTGACAAACAAATTTATGGCGAATGATGAGCTCAGATACTCTCTAGTACAAATTGTACCACATCTTATTATTCCTTGCATGTACCCAATTCTCGAAGCAAAATAGCATCTTCTACCGGAGGTATCGCTTGAACGACCTCGGTCACTCCGTTCACCAGCAAAAAAACTTCCTCACAACTTACACCTGAAGCTATACTGCTTCGCAACGTTTGTTTTATCGCGCGGCATTGCTAACCCAGCAGTAGCCTCACATTGTGAGTAGGGTAGGTCAGCATTCTAATCTACAGAGCTTAGCTTTTTGAGTGAATAGCTTTCACCCTCCACCGAATCTGGCACAGAGGACCCTATCTTACAGCTGTCACCAACCGTCCCACGAGAGATTCGTTCTAAAGACCCTGATAGACAGTGGTATTTTGTGTAGGCACTCTTTAAACGTGATTTGCGATCGCCAACGTTGCTCGTTTTACCATGAGATCACGCTCAATAAGGCTGCTTCTCCTTCATCCATACACTTACCATTAACTTTCCAGTGTGTCGGTTACTCCCGTGTCATAAACAAAAGCTAGCAAACCTTCGAATACGCGCCATAATTGCTTCTTGTTCTTCTTTTTTTCTTGCCAGAGGTGGGCGTATGACTCGCCATATCCCACCGGAAGAAAAGTGTGTAATCCAGCTGTTGTTCCATAGATCGTAGCATTGTATTCATGTCAACATAGAATGAGGTCATAGACCCAGAACCAGATAGTGTTCCATATTGTCAAAGTCCTCAGGACTCTCCCGAAGGTGCACATAGCCTTCGACATTTTCCCGGCTTAAGACCCACGGAAATCGAATATAGATTTGGCATCTTCAGTGTCCCGAGTACTGGCATTATCAAACTTGAGCTGTGAAGCCCACCTTTCTTACTGATATTCGTTGAGGTCTGGGTCTAATCGACCACGAGTTCCACGAGGTACGATAGATTTCAATTCTTTCCGAATAGTGAATTGGGACTCGATGTTTCCACGCGAGAGGCTGGTCGTTTATCCTAGCGTGAAAGCCGGATCCATCATACCTCTCAGTCCAGAGCGAAGGGGGACAGGCGATTTCTTTGCGTTATCACAGGTGAGACATTCGCGGGTACTATGAAGCTGCTCAAAATCTTTTTTCTCAACCTTGCAGAGACTAATTGCCTTCTGCGTGCTTGTAGATCGACGTCATTTAACAGCCCTCTTGGCACGAATATGGAGCCCCTCTTGCTTGCAGCGTCCACTGATTTTTTTAAAGAGATAGGTCGACGCGGATAGTCTCGCTTTGAGCCGCCTTCGTTTGAGGACCCTCCATGGAGATGGTAGCCACTAACGCCGATTGATAAGGTCAGACGTTATTGCAGCGATCAGTACTCTAAACGTTTGGACATAGTCCGCCGGTGCAAATAGACAAGAATTTTATGCGCATTCTTCATGCTTGCTTAGGCAGTGCGATCACTCGTGACATCTGTCGCATCGACTCCACATTGAAAGTGTTGCTTCTACCGAGGTATTGCACTTCGGTGCCAAGTTTTGCGCGCAAATCTCTACCTATCAGACCACAAGTGCGACTTATTGTCGCTATCTTTGATGCATGGCCGAGCTCTAGGCATCTCAATTTCCCTATAAAACCAAAAGTGGTTTTAAGCGTTAAATTGGCATTCGAACATTTTATGTTTTATCCTTGTATTGAATGCAGGTCCTCTCACAACTCGGTCGTGGTTTTCGCTTTAAATACTACCGAATACAATAAAGTTGCCGCGAACTTTGCACAGAAGAAGATTTATACCTAAATATCTGCATAAACAAATCACAGAGCTTGGATCCGTGCGCTACCGGGATCGTACCCAAATGCCTCTGTCGTAACTTGGTATGTACATTTTAAGCGTACATGCAGCGGGTCTGTCGTAGCAAAACGCTTGAGGAAGCGTACTTTAGCTCACCGACCTTTCGTTCTTTACAAGAACCAAGTATGAGCTAGCGGATCGCAATCCGCTTACTCCAAGAGAAATTATTGCCTTCCCAGGCTAATCGACTCTTATTGTTTTTTTTAATTTA